ATGGATGGATGGATGGATGGATGGATGGATGGGTGGATGAATGGATGGATGGATGAATGGATGGATGGAAGGATGAATGAATAAATAAATGTTTTTGTTCTTTTAACAGTACATGTAAGCCAATGTCACAATGTGTGATTTTCAAATACTACAAATAAGAGAATATTAAAGTATAAGATTCTAGAAAATCATATGCTAAAAATTAAAATGAACAATAAAATAATATATAAATATATGTATACAAAGAAAGGAATTATAAATATTGAACTATAATATTACAGTATGTATAGAGCCCAAACACTAAATCGCCATGAAACAGGATCTGATCACTCTATGCTAAAAAAGCCACCATTTTATTTGACAGGGAACGATGGTAGATAAGTGCTGCAAATGTGCAGCTTCTTCATCACTGCTGTGGTAGTAGGTTTGATCTGGAATTTGTTAGGTCTTTACTTTGATTTGAGGGTTTTATCCAGGTTCTCTAGTTTTCCTCCCTTTACAAAATCCATTACACTTAATTCCAATTTGATATGCGAGTTATACATATGCCATGTTCTGATTTAAAACCCTACCTTTGATCAGAGGTTCTTCCAGGGTATCATGGGTGGGAAGCATGGGTGGCGTAGTGGTGARAGCACTTGCCTCTTACCAGTGCTACCCAGGTTTGTTTCTTGGACTTGTCATAAGTTAATAGAGTTGTTTGTTGGTTCTCTACTGTGCTTCAAGAGATTTTTTCTGCATTCTCTGGTTTTCCTCCCTCCACAAAAATCGACTTCTAAATTCTAATTCAATCTAGAAAGGGCCTAGATGAAAATTACTTTGTGTGAAAATCTAGTTACTGTGACTTTTGTACTGTTACTTTTTTTCCAGGAGAGTTTCAGAATCATATTTACAGCAAACGTGGAACGTTGGTTGACCAGTGAAAAATTATTTTAAATAAGTGAAAAACACTCTCAATTTTTTTTATAAATATTAGACAAATAAAAGAATATTTTGTCTTTGGTGAAATAGCTTTGCAAAAGGTTTTAAAAATGAAATGCAGGGAAACAATGAAAACATTCTCATTTCTGCCATATACAGGAAGAAACAAACATCAATCTAAAACTTTCTAATATAATATATCTAACCCACTGTTTTCCCATTTCAGACCACGTGTCATTTCCTAAAGTATCATTTATTCATTAAACAGTTGTGCATGACACGACACATGAATATGGATACAACTCAGACAAAATATTTTATTCTCAAGAGAATGACACATGGTCTGAAATGAGCAAAACATTACGCCCAAGTGGATTTGGTCAATTTTGTTTACTTCCTCACCATCACATAAGTGGCTGGTATAAATGCAATCTCTCCTGTTTCTTTCAGCGCTTCCCACCAGTATGGGTTAACTGGATGACTTGCTACAAATGTCAATCTTTCACCAGCTGTGATAGACATTTCTTCAAAGCCTCCTGGGTTGGCCTTGTTTGCTTCATAGTTGTATTTTGCTATTAAAATCTTTGGTCCTTTAGGTGTTGGTGGGGTTGGATGGGCTGAAACAGAAAAAGTATCGTAGATACTTAGCGGCATGTCATAGAAACAGCTCTATGCGAAGACTTTGCACAATATTGTACTGAAGAAATAGAAAACGTGCATGCATGCCGTGTGCAGTTATAAAGTATGCGGAGTTGGCAGAACACGAGACAGAGAAGTGTTAAGAGAAGCACGATGTGTAGCGGAGTGCTTCTTGACACTTATCGAGTGTTCTGCAATCCTCAAGTGCTTTATAAATTCAAACAGCACAGCAAGTAAGTTTTTTAGTCCTTTTATAAAATACAAATTACAATAACCGTTATTTTAAATAGGAATGATGCAACTGAARGTGCGTGCGTGTTGTGTGCTCTCATAAAGCACATGCTCACAACCAATCATAATGGGAGATTTATAACAGTAATTGTATAATGTTCAGATACAACTTGCAGGAAGAGATTGCTTGCTTGGCTATGGTGCACCCGAACGTAAATGATAGAAGAAATACAAATACCTTACAGCCATTCTCAATCACACGTGCCACTCTAGCAATTGTTTTTGTTGGGATGAAGTAGCTTTTGGTGGACGTCAATCAAGGCATTTCCATGACATTCTATAGGCACGTGCCCTTATAGCTTTGTGTTTACCAACAATGTTATGGAAACGCCTTGTGATTGACGTCAACCAAAACCTTCTTTGTCGTGAAGGGAACAAATCGCTAGAGGGTGCATGTGATTGAGAATGGCTGTAATCAGATTCATATCAGTAACAACAAAACAATGATCAAAAAATGATCAAACTAAGAACTATGTTCCTAAGTCCCTGGAAAATCTGATAAATCTAAATCTATGAAACATAACAATCTTGAAGATTTTCAAGAGATAATCTAGCTGAGAACATCTTCCCACGATGCACAGACTCTTGAACCTCGAATGAAGGATAACTGATGCCAAAAACCGTCATCAAATATTCACAAACATCACAAACATAAATAGATTTTCCCGCGAAAATYTATCTTCCCATGGAACCTTCCCATGATGCACGATTTTTACACCTCTGAAAGAGCATGCTTCCTACAATATCCCCAAACATTCACACAAATCGTAAAATAATTTCCAAATATATACACAAATGCAAACTAATAGAGGTATTTATAGCTGGTTTTCTATAAGATACCTGTTTTTACAGACGAGCCATTTTCTAACGTCCCATTCGTCTCAGGCTTCTGTTCGTTTTGAACAAGCTCTTTAACAATGATCGGCTTAATATTAGTATTTCTAGGCTGTCCTGGTCTTCTAGCCGGCATCCACGTGTCCATCTGTAGCATACCTCGACCTTTTCCTTGTCCTTTGGTCATTTTGGTGATTAATTTTGAAGAAAAGTATTTAAAAAGATTGATGTTTTGCCGCAAATACTTCGCGCGACTCAGAAAATCAAAAGATCAACCACCTAGAACGGAGACTGAGTACTAGTACAAGTCCACCTCGGTTATAGTCTCTCAGGGGTGGGGTTAAGACTAAAATATTTCAACCCTAATATAATCTAAATAATAACACATAACATAACAAAATAATACAAAATCTTCCTCATAGCAAGTAAAAGTTACCTCATAGTTTAATAAAATGAAAGATTCTTATCAAATTTGAATTTTCATAAACGAATTACAATTTCTATACCCATGCCTCTCTCGAGAGTAAAGCTTTGTTTATTCAAATTTGAATCGCTTGACATTTTTTACTGGATTCAAATTTTTCATGAGTTTTTAGGATTGAAAATTTAACCTAATGGATATTATTAGCGTACAGGAGTATCCGAGGAAGAGATGTGCTCCGTCGTCACCTCTTGAAGACTCCATCCTTCTTCAACAACCGGTAAAGGTTTTGATTTTATAAGATGCACGTGTTTTGATGCTTAACGTAAAATTATCTAACTTTGAGTCTTTGCTTCCTTGCTTCAAATTCTTCGCCTTATTTTCGATAAGTTCTTTTCTTTTTGGCTTTAAAAAACGAGATAGAAGAAATAGGAAGTATTTTAAACTATTTTGGATGTCATTTTGATTTGCATTCGAAGGTTTTGAAATGTGAAATTCTAGAATTCGGCATGTTTTAAAAGAATGATTTGAAAGTTTTGTCGTCTGTTATTGTCCCTGTTACTGCATGCTGTGTTGACCGGGACCAGGGACCACGGAAAGGGGGGGATTTCCCTGTCTTGGCCCCCTAATCCTTCCTAGCTATACTAGTCTCTTGCAACAACAACACACACTTTTTAGGGTGGTCCTTACTAGTAGTCGTTGGTTGAAACAATTTAACTAAGATAATTTTTGTTGCTAATAGACCTGCATGAGATATTTGATTATCTGTTGAATTATATCATATCATCATATATAATTTGATTTCAGACCAAATAATTGCACTTAGTTTAAAATCTTTGCAATAATCCTTACAGCTATTTTCATAAACCTGCGACCTCAGTGTTCTTGAGTTGCACGCTGAAATTTGGTTTTCCACTGCCGTCAATCAAACCTAATCAGTCGGTAACTTTCATATTTTTGACTGGCGGCAGCGAAACGCCAAATTTCAGCGTGCAACTCAAGAGCACTGTGGTCACATGTTTATGTAAATAGCTATAATATTAACTGGCAATGATAGTCCTTGCATGGTTTGATCCAGGTTAGACTCATGCACAAATGAGTAGGGGAGCTGCTAGTTTGTTCTCTCCTGTGCTTCAAGGGTTTTTCTCCAGGTTTTTGTCTGTTAATTTCCTCCCTCCAAAAAAATCCACTTTTTGAATTAGACCTTTTTAGCAAATAATTGGGTGTGTAATGTTTTCCCAATTTCAGACCATGTGTCATTCCCTTGAGAACAAGATTCTTTGTTTGAGTTGCATCCATATTCATGTGTCATCTCACGTGCAACTGTTAAACAAAAAAATCATACTCTAGGGAATGACACATGGTCTGAAATGGGAAAAGTAAGAAGTGAGTGCTGTTCCACTCTAAACCTTGATTCTCAAAATAAAAATTGGGTGTAAAAAATATGATTTTTGTTTTTTGCTTTCAGAAAAGAAGTTGCTCGTCTGAGTATTACTTGCATGAGATGTCGAACTGCTATAGAACACATGAGATATTTGCCGATGGTAGCATGCCTACCTTAGCAAAGAAGACAGTTAGTCAACCTAACGAAGAACGAATGGATTGTTCTGATAGCAATATCCAATCAGAAAATAATGATAATACTTATATGTCCAAGAAACATGTGGAATTGAGTAAAGATGACAGGCCACAAGAGCAGGAGAAGCCAATCCCTAACTTAGTAAGTAAAGGTTGATCTTCTCTCCATTCATCTATCCATTTAACCAATTTCATCCATCTATTCATTCATTCTTCTAATTCCATTCATCAAACTATTTTTTCATCCATTTATACTATCCATAATCCAATTTCAACCTTCTATCCATCCACACATCCATATGTCCATCCATTTGCCAATCCATCTATCCATCCATCCATCCATCCATCCATCCATCCACCCATCCATCCACCCATCCATATAATTATTTATACATACACTGTACATCCATCCAATTCCATCATTTCCATTATAATTTGTGTAGGTCAAAGTTGCAAACATATAGTTGAGCTCAAGTTTGAACAATCCCCCTGGCACATGTTCTCCTTCACAGCCATCATTACTGTAGTTTTGGTCCCAGATCCTAGGGGGAAAAAACATATTTAACTTGGAAAGTACACTTAGCTAACTGCTAGTTTACAGTGTAGTCCACAAATTAATAAACTGAAATAAAGAAACAATCAAAGAAACATAAAGTGTGTTAAGAATTCAACTGGCAAGGAGGCAAACCAGTGGGCTATTTACGAGCATGGTCAAGAAACTGAATTAGAACTAATTGCAAACCAGGACAAATACAGTCTCAGCTAGTGGCCACAGCGGGACTCGAACCTGGCACCACCGGATTGCAAGACTGACGCTATGACCACTCGACCATCCTGCCTCCTTATATCCTGCACAAGTTTTTCTCATATGTATACATTAATGTATGTATCTGTTGTTGCTCTCCCTTCTTCTTGTCTGCAGTATGTAGCAAGCTCCTTCAGAAGAAGTCCTGTTAAGTGTAGTCGCTGTTGTGCAGGAGAATCTGTAAGTCTCATCCAATATTCTTTTATTTATTCATGCAAGGATTTTAAAAAGGTGGCATAGAGGGAGTATTGCACTCCCTTCTCACTTCTGGGGTCTTTGGTTCATTTTCCAGATTCAGCATCACATTGAGTAGCCTTTGTTGGGTCTCTCGATTTCTACATGCATAAAGATTGAGTTCCATGCTAGTGCATACTCTAAGCGCTTGCTCAAAGGGGTCAAAAAGTCTGATCATGTTTTGTAAAAACTGCTATATTTTAATTGACCAATATATTTTTTATTTTTTATTTTTTTATCAATCACAATTGAAATATTCAAGAGCAAGTAGTGTTAAGCTAATTCCAAAACAAATGTACCATTTTGAAATATAGCAGTTTTTGCTAACATGTTAAGGCATGTATTTGAAGATGTTTCTCCACTTGTTCAGGATTTTCCCCCTCCACAAAACCAAACATGTTATATTCCAATTCGTGAGTTAGCTGTGCCCTGACTTAGTTTCAGGGTACTGATAAACAATTTGAAGGTCCATGCTACTGATCTATTACTCATAAACCAATTATTGGGTGTCTCAAATGAAAAAAATGTATATGGAGATAAATAAATATATTATTAGTGGGTTTCCGGTGCAACGCAGGACACCCCCTGAATCCACCCCTRACAATCACTCAATCAGATGTCTGGGTTTTGGCTTCTGTCTATTTTTATAATTTGCCTATTTGGATATATGAAAATTTTGAAAACAGCTTCTAATATTTCCATTGCTCCCAACCATTTCTAGTTGATCAAGTTACAACTGTACCATCAATAATCTTGAAAACTAGCGATGTTTGGGGCTACGTTGCATTATTCTTATTTTATTTGTTGCTTTCTTTCCCCTCAGGCCCACTTTAGCCATCTGAAATCTTGAATGGTTACCAGGGAGACTTGACACAGACATGTGATATACATGCAGATAGTTTTATTTATTTGTTTAATACGTGAATTATTAATTTTTGATACATTTTTGATGATGATGAAGGTGATGATGATTGCATGGTGGTGATAGTAATGATGTCATGATGATGGTGATGATGGTGATGGTGATGATGGTGGTGGTGGTGGTGATGGTGGTGGTGATGATGATTGCATGGTGTTAATAGTAATGATGATAGTGATAATGAGGTGATGATGATGATGATTATAGTAACAGTATGAGTAGATAATATAAACTTTATTTGATTAGGGCAACTAGAGCACATGCAGTAAAACCATGAAATTTAAGGAATGGTCAATGCTTAGTGTGCATATATGTATATCCAGTTCTGGATGCACGCAGGAGGTTGCTAAGCATTTAAGAAGCGTAAGAGTCACAGAAGGCATAGCTGTGTGCAACTCTAACTTCTTGAGTGCTTACCAGCGTTTGCATTGCTACGCGGCCACCCCAGACAAAAATCGTGACATGCACTTTGCAATAGACTGCCGTCAATCAAACAAGTTTCCAAGTGCATACAGAACTGGATATACACACAGCTAAGCATTGACCATTGCTTTTTATAACATAGCAAAACTGTGAAAAAATATTTGTTGATCAAAAAAAATTCAAACTTTGTTCTAATGAAATCTTCATTACACAGCGTGCACTACTCAATCACGTCAGCGTGCACCATCTATTTCTGGATTCTCATTTGCGCACGCTAATTAACCAATAAGAGCGCATATTATATCGTGGTTATGTCATAAAACAAAGCTGATGCTGAAAAATAATAGTTGCTATCACTCAACCAGAACATTCACTACACAAAGACAAATACACTAGATACAATTTGTGTCTTTTGTTTAATAAATGTTCTGGTTGAATGGCCAACTTCCTTGAATAAATACATTAATATATAACCCAACTTTATTAAAATAATATAACCCAAATAATTAATGACTAAGTGTAAAAAATCAACGAGGAAATCTAGATCACATTTTTATGTTTTTTATTTGAATGCCTTTTTAATAACATTATTGAGTTACTTGTAATAATATATTTGTGTCCTCTGGAAATATTAAGTAATTAGCCATTCCGAGGTTGAGGGAAAAACTATGACAAGTTGGCATCGTACTCCATTTTGGAGCTGCTTTAGGGGACATATTTCCAAGATGGTGTCTATTTTACCCCTAAAATAGCACCACAATACATAGCCTGCATAGCCAGGCATTCCTTGTGGCTGCGCAGGCTAGACACAATACACTGAAATGCCACTTTTTCCCTCAAAATCGGAATAGCTGATTTTTATAACAACATGCAACTCATAGACTGAGTCGTATGCACTGTATATATGTTCAAAATATAATATCTATATGAAAATGCCTTTGTTTACAGTCTTATATAATATGTACATGCAAAGTTGTACACCTTGTGCAAGTTATTCAATAAGTTTAGACCTGCATGCAGGTACCTTAGCCCTCTTTAAACAATTATCAAAGATTTAAATTGTGTTTAACCAAGCAAATTGTACAAAGTTGTATTGAAGTTGAAGTGTTTTTAATTTGAGAGTCAATGTTTTTCATTTCTTGTCTTAGTCTTTTTTCTCCTTAAAACTACAATTATTCATTACAAAGCAACGCAGGACCACCAAGAATTTTTTAGCCCATGACAGGCGAATTCTAAAAAAGATTGTGAGCTCATAAAGAATAGAGTAGAATCTGATTTGTGAAATTTTACAAAAAGAATAGGATCAATTTTGGGATGCCAATAGGTATTCACCTGACTCCCTTGCACTCTTTCTTTTGCTCAGTTAATTAGCACCAATATTGTCTTAGTATTTTTCACAAGGAAATACAAATTTGAGTGAGAAAGAAAATATGCAAAGCATTTTGGTAGAGGTGGTAAAATGACRCCATCATGCAAGCGGCCTATTTTGTGCTCTGCCTGGGATGAAGAATGCTAGATGGTCCTGTTTGGTGCTATGCACTAAAGGGTAGTGGTATGTTGGGGTGGGAGAGTACTTATGCTACCTATCATACATGCATGACAGGGTTTCAATTAAGGGTCAGGGATTGGATAGTCTGCATAGCGGCACTCCCTTCCAAATTCCCTAGAGTGCCGCTATGCAGGCAAGAGATTGGAGAATGCTCTGGTAACTGAGCAAAATTCTACATGTACCATTATTTTATAACTGATAATGTAAAATGTTCCCTTCATCCACAGGTAGTTCATGATCTCCTATTATTTTAAAACTTAATGAAAACCCTGATACTATGGTTGAACCAATAAACCACTTAAATATGATGTATACCTTACTAGAGAGTATATTTGGAGGTAGTAGACCTTGTGGCAAGTCCACTTTAAAAAAGGATATTTATACCTCGTCAAAGTTTGGTCAGGAATTTCTAGATAATTTCTTGAAAATACAGCTAGAAAGTTTTTTTTAAATGGTATTGCCACAGAACAGAAGAGTGTTTGCTGTGTTATGAGACCAGGATGATTTTTTTTTTTTTCAAAAAAAGCTAAGCAGTTATTTTTGCCTGTGAACATAAATTTTATTAATGTACATTTAGCTAATAATATCTAATTATTATTAGCAGCATATTATAATATTCATACTCCCCCACATGCTCCCTTCTTTTTTAGGGAGGCATAGATATTTCAAGGTTTGCTCGATCACTTGACTGCAGCCATGTTATTGATTATTTAAAGATGAGAAAAAATTCCATTCCCAAGAGTAAAGGGATTCTATTAGCCATAATCCCAGGTTGAAGGAAAACAATTGGGTCAAGTTGGCATTGCAATGCATTTTGGGACTGTTTAAGGGGACAAAATGGTCACCATCTTATTTGAAATACGTCCCTATAACAGCCCCACAATGCACTGCAATGCCAACTCAACCCAGTTTTTCCCTTAACCTCAGAATGGCTAATTGTCCTGGCACCAGTAGTTCAGGCAAAACTTCTGTTTTATCAAGCATATCATTGAAATTTCACAAATTTAAATTTACCTGCAGACTAAGGCCACATTGACATGAAAGAAGGGTTGTTTTTCCTTCAAGAGGCAAAACAAAAAAACAAAAAAAACGAGCTGTACCAAGATCACACTATTTTTATGCCAATGAGCAATTCAATTCAATACAGGTATTTCAAAAAAGGGTGTGTGAAGTCCTTGTCGTATGTTGCGCTCAAGTTGCATACCAAGCCTGAAATGCACAATCTATAGGCAATGTGAATGCAATCTGCCAGAAGTCACAACAATATGTGGACTCTCGGAATTTCCCCAAACTTTGTCTTCACATTTCCCCCTGCATTTTCTCTTCTGTGCTGGCATTTTTTAGTACACACATCATCCACAATACATTTCAAGCTTGGTATGCAACACATGCAACAGAACCTTCAATTCACAAATATCTTTTTTTGTCTCCTTTGCAGCCGTTCTTTACACCAAGAATGGCTTCAAAGGAGAACTTCAATTATCATCTGTAATATGTGAAAATCAACAAGCTATGCTATTGAAGGCTACATATACTGCACACGTTGCTTAACATAACATGTGCTATACTAGTGATATAATATCATCAGACCAAACAGAAGCAATTTTTTTTCCTTTGACTTACAATTTTTGTATACATCTGCTTTATTTTTCCCTCCAAATTTTAGAGCTCTAATAAATTTCTCTGTATCATAACCATTTTCTTAGAAAAAGTATCATAATTCGAAGGCCTTGGGTTTGGCCCTTTATTTTACTACTAACAGTAATTCTTTTCTATATATTTTCAAATATTTCTTTATATTTACCTGTATACATAGAGCATTACTCGATTATAACCTTATTAATATTTCTGACATAACTAAGATATGAATTTGTTCACTATGTTAACTACGGAATTGATTGGGAAGTTGGTGTCCATTTCGGCGAATAAGTGGCATTCGTTGCCTATTTCTCCTATTTTGCGCACCACGAGACCGAAGGTCCTAGAGAAGTAGCATAATAATAATGTTAAATAATGAAAAAAATATAGAAAGACACGTAAAAAATTGAGTGGAAAGCAGGGAAAAGAGGAATGATGATGATGATGATAACAAATGACCTTATTCGTTTTGGTGTAATGTTTTACATTACAGACCATGAGTCATTCCCTAGAGTATCATTTCTTTGTTTAACGGAGACACATGAATATGGATACGACTCAAAAAATAAACTTATTTTCAAGAGAATGACACATGGTCTGGAATGGAAAAACATTGCGCCAAGATATATAAAGTCTATTGCTGGGCAAGACTGATCAAAACGCCTTGATTTGTCCGTGTTGACTATAGTCAGTTTTTTTTGATGTTGTAGAACAGAGACACATGCATGGTTCTGACTCCGACATTAGTTAACCAATCACTTTAGCAACATTTTTTAAAGGCACGGACACACGGTGCAACAGTGCAACATTGCGCGCAATGCTGCAATGCGTGTCCATAGCTTAAGACTTTTCTCCTGCTCTACAGCTCCCAGCACGTTTATATCACAGCATATAGACACGTGCGCCATTTTACACTCATTTATAAAATATTTGAAATATAACTTGCGCTCTGATTGACTGTCTACCCTGACAGAGACACGCCAAAGTTCTCCAAAAATATTTTATAAAACCAATATAAAACTGCTACTCATGTTTGTGTATTGTGATATAGACACCCTTGGGAGATGTAGAGCACTTGAAAAGAAAGAACACTCGACTTCTCCTTGTTTTCCTAAGCTTGCTTCTCTCGTTCTCTACAGCTTCCAGCGTGTTTATAACTATATCACAGTACGGAGACGTGCGYGCTTGATATTCCTTAACTAATCTAATTCCCTTGCCCCCTCCCCAGGTAGCATATCCTCACCTTGATTTGCCGCTATAGGATGACAGTTTCAGATCCCACCTGGAATAAACAGACAAATGTAAAGTTAGGCTCAAAAGTTTTTTCTTATCTTGTTTCTTCATAAGCATCACCCCGTTACACCTACGTGATGTATATAGGGCTGATACCGGGGCCTTCTTAAGATGGTTAATATTCTCATCACCAGTTTCCTTATTAATTAGCCGAGGTTGAGAGAAAAACTGGGTCGAGTTGCATGGTTTTGCATTGCACTTTGGGGCTGTCTTAGGAATAGACGCCATCTTGGAAAAACGTCTCTTGTAATAGCCCCGCAATGCACTGCAAAGCCAATTCGACCCAGGTTTTCCTCAACCTTGGACTGGCTAATATGCACTGTGTTAGGGTTGATAGCACCAAGTAAAGGTTTGCCAGAGCCTTGTCCGTCGGCTTTACCAGTTACCACCTCTCACGGACGAGGAAGTAGGTTAGGAGTTCGGGAGGTCTTGTTACTTGATGGTGTGAAAATACGTTGRTATCGCTAAATGTAAAGACTGATAACCTTTCTCCCTTTTCTTAAGAAGAGTCCTAGATCTCCACTAACTAAAATGTTCAATTCCAACACCGTCTCTTTAAAAAATACGTTCTGTTTAAGCTTGTTAGCACGGAACCGGTCCCAAATTTGCACAGCTAGGCGTACGAGTTTTTGTTGGGATAGCTCAGTCCCGTGTGAACGGAACCCCTAAACGTACAACTTTTTGACCGGTTGAAAATTCGTTCTGTACCGTGTAAAAGCAGCCTTAAAAACTATTTTTACCTGTGATCCAGGGGGTCAATTCCACAGTACAATACGTTATTCATGGGGAAATGTTTTCTAAAGAAAACCCTGCAAAAAGAAGAAAATATGGCATACGCTTGAATCCTTCAATGTGACGTAAGACATGCCGTAACATTGAAATGGCTTCCCATAAGAATGGCTATCGTATGAGTGGGAAACGTACGGTACTGACTTAGAGCACATATACGCAGGGGCGGCGGAACCGGGGGGACCGGGGGACACTTGCCCTCCCCACGAAATTTTTTTGGGGGGGCCTGGCCCCCATAAAATATTGGTTCTCAGTCATAGTTTTACGGCGCATGCGTCTGCAATCAAACAAAACAGCGGTCATTATCACATAGCGTTAAATATAATATTTCAGTGCCCCCCCC